CCATTGATACAAGGCAAGATTGATCCATGCTTTCATGTAGTTTACGCCAAATTCTGACCCTACCATCTGAATGTTGCAGCTGAAATCGAGACTCATCAGACCAGGCAATGTTTTTTCAATCTTCTATTGTTCAATTTTGGTGAGCCTGTGCGAAGTGTAGCCTCTGTTTCCTGTTCTTAGCTGACAGGAGCGGCAGCCGGTGTGGTCTTCTGCTTCTGTAGCCCATCTGCTTCAAGGTTCGACGTGTTGTGCGTTCAGGGATGGTATTCTGCATACCTTGGTTGTAACGAGTGGTTACTTGAGTTATTATTGCCTTTCTATCATCTCAAACTAGTCTGCCCATTCTCCTCTAACCTCTGATATCAACAAGGCATTTTCGTCCACCCAATTGCTGCTCACTGGATATTTTTTTTTTTTTCGGACCATTCTCTGTAAACCTTAGAGATGGCTGTGCGTGAAAATCCCAGTAGATCAGCAGTTTTTGACAGACCAGCCCGTCTGTCACCAACAACCATGCCATGTTCAAAGTCACTTACATTTCCTGTCTTCCCCATTCTGTTGCTCGATTTGAACTTCAGCAAGTCGTCTTCACCACAGCTAGATGCCTAAATGCATTGAGTTGCTGCCACGTGATTGGCTGATTAGTAATTTGTGTTACCAAGCAATTGAACAGGTGTACCTAATAAAGTGGCCAACGAGTGTATATATATATCTATATATATATATATATAGATATATATCTATATATAGATATAGATATATATATACATTATTTCATTAAAAAGCAGTTGTTGAGCTTCAAGCTGGACATACCTGATTTCTGCAGAATCATCCGAAATTTGTTCTGTGGGTGACCCTGTTGGGAACGCCCAACTTGATTTTTTTTTTTTAAGGAACATTCCCAGCCAAACATCACCTTCATTTAATAAGATACAGAGATTGTTCATGTCCTCTGATAGCCAGCCCCAATGGCTGTCAGAACACATAAACAGTGCCTCCATCTGATGGGATACCAGTGCTGTTTGGCCAAGAATGACAATAGCCGGCACAGCAAATTTGCCCATCCATGCTCCTTAACATGGATGTGGAAACTAGTGATTTTTCTTGTTTTAACCTTGTGATACTAAACACTTAGCTTTTTTTAGTTCAATGTATTCTTAGCAACAAGAGAAACACAACAGCACTTCCCAGCTCCACCCCCCAGCTTCTTCCCGGCAGCAGCACAATGTAAAGGGGGTGCACTGTGGTGTAAGGGAAGGTGGGGGACTCTTGATTTCTGATGGTGGGGAGGCTCTTGACATCTGATGTAAGAGAGGGTGGGGTGCTCTGGACATCTAGTCTTACAGATACAACCAGCCCTTTGAGAGCAACCCTAATGCCGATGTGGCCTGTGATGGAATTGTTTGACACCCCTGCCCTACATGTTTGAACCTGAAATCAAAGTGGAGACTCTGTATCAGATGACATAGTAACATTATCAGTAACTCTACCTCTACCTGTGGCAGCGAGTACAAGAGTGTGCGTAGGTTTAGTAGCAGTGGGTGTGAGAGTGTGCATAGGTTCTAGCTATCCATCTGTAAAGTAAAACCAAGCTAGCAATGTCATTCCGGTAACCTATAGGACTGCCGATGATATTTGGAGTCTAGGGAGGTGGGTAATAATCATTCTGTTAGGCTAGCCATCCACACTTTGATTTCTCTTGTTGAACAAGAGAAATCACATAATTCCCCCATCTACACTGAAGGGTGTGCACAATCTCGATCAGAATACCTGAACAATGACTGCATTTGATACGAAGCAGTCACTGTTCAGCTGATGATTTTACACCCAGCTCCTTCAGTTTTTCCATCAAGTTTTTTGAGCTGGGTGTGACTGACAGCATTACTCAGTTCAGATTTCAGCCATTTTAGCAGGAATCGGATGACTTTAGATTATTATTATCATTATACAGGATTTATATAGCGCCAACAGTTTGCTCAGTGCTTTACAATATAACGGGAGACAATACAGCAACAATACAGTTCAATACAAGAGGGATAGGAGGGCCCTGCTCCTCGGAGCTTACAATCTAGGAGATTAGTGAACAGCTAGCTTTTGTTTTTCCCACTACTACTGCGATAAGCAGTGGTGAACCCTTTCCTCTACCCTCCTTCCCTTTCTAAAGGCACAGACTTGAGAATATTTAAAGATTATTTCTGCCAAAAAAATTCTTCTGTCTACCACTTTGAGGTTTTTTATTTTTGCTACAATCATTTTGTTATTTCCAGTATTTTTCCCTCATTTCAGCTGATGTGAAAGCTTCCTGTCTATAGTTGTCTTTATTGGGCTATAGCTAGACACAATTTGAAAGCTGTCTTGCTAAAAACATGTATTCCCAGGAAGACAGAACTAATTGTAGACTAAGGGCTTATTCACACAGCAGTCTGAAATGATGGTTTTAGATGTATACAACATATAATTTACCAATAATATCTAAACACAGCGCTAGAGGATTCAATGGGACTATACATATTGCTGTGTTCACAAACAAAAACATATGCCGCATTTAGCGGCGTACAAAAAAAGTTTTTTTTGCATGTACACGTGTGTAAACATTCATAGACATGAAAAGTTAGAAAAAATGTATGCATCTAAACGTGAGTATTTTTTGCCATATCATCTGCTAGCTCTCAGTAAGAGCCTGCACTCCATACTTAAAACATTCATATGCCCGAGTGAATGAAGTCAAACGTTGATTGTTCATTGGAGATTGCTGGCTCAGATGTCTGCAGTTTGTATTAGAATATTATGATTAATGTAGCAGGTGTTACACCCCGGTCACATTGAGTGCGACTTGGCTTGCGATTTGCATGCCATGCAACTTGCAAAGCGTTTGACAAGTTGCACCCTATTGTCTGCAATTAGAGCTGTCAAATCGGTGCGGTTCCAACTTGGTTGGAGCCACACTGATTTCTAAAGTAGTACATGTACTACTTTTGGTGCAATTTGCATAGACATGTGTGTCAACTCTCTTGCTAATCGCATCTGAAAACGGCATGTCATCCAACTTTGAAATAGTGCAACTTCACTGTAAGTCGCACGATTTCAAAGTTGGGCTTGATGTGACCGGGGGGTTAGGGTGGTTTCACATTTGAAACACATGCGATTTGGCTGCAGCACTGGTGTACTCTTTGTTTCCATGTGGTTAAGCCGCAGTTTCCCATAGACTTTCTATTAGATTGTACATTTTCTGAAAGCGGACCAAAGATGCAGCATGCAGGTCTTTTGGTGCACTTTTAGAAAACGCACTAAATATGTGCGTTTAGATCTATCAGAAACCGAGGGTTAAGTGCACAAAAAGCACAGGTACATTTAGAGATTGGAGAAATGGATCATTTGGAGCTGAACATTTGCCTAAGAAAAATTGTGCAAAGATCATATTAATGATTATTCTTAACTAGCCATACAATGTTCGATTCTTTTAGGCTAGGTTCACACCTGTGCGGGTGATTGCTGCTGCGGGACCGCGCCTGTTCCCGCAAATGCAACCACCCGCACAGAAAAATGCACTGCTACTCAGGAGAAGCATGCGGGTGCCATTAATCCTAATGGCACCCACACACATTGGAAATCGCAGAGTGGCTTCCCACACTGGGAACCACAATGAACTTGCGGTTTTTGTGCATCTTGCGGTTTAAAAAATGGATCAGGGACCTTTTCCCTCAGTTTTTCAGAGACACTGCAGCCCATTCAAATGAATGGGCTGCTGTGTCTGCACAAAACGCAACTTGCTGAGCCACAGTAGTGTGCACCTAGGGTTAAATTATAATTGACCTACCTGAACAAACCATTCTGTTTTATACAATTAGAAAGGCCCCCTGTACTATTGTTGATAGGGGTAAAGGAGATTGTACAGTCAGATTGTAATGTGTATAATGATCTTCAGATGAAAGCAGACAGAAAAATCATCTGTATAGCTGCAATTGTTCATGTTTTCTATTGCACAATCTTTTTCTTGCTGCTTCCACTGCTGTCTGGAAACATTATTATTCTATTATTGTGATTAATATTATGCTAATTTCATATTAACCTGACAAAAAAAATTAAAAATGTTTTGTTTTTTGTGTTTTGACAGTAGTAAGTAAGGAAGGAAAATATATCCAAAACCACTTTATATTTCCTTTATTGTCCAAGGGCCAGTTCACACAGGGACCATGCAATTTGGTGCCCACAAATACACTGCATTTTCAATCTGCATTTGTGGTGCTTGTAACAATACATTGGCACCCGCATGTAGATTGCAAGGGCAGTGTGTTTGAACGTGGTGCGGGAAAGGCACATGGAATGTGCCTTTCCCACACCATGTTCTGGTGTGAAATGGCCCTAAAGGTCATAATACTTGTTACAATCTGTACAATCAATTTCTGATTTACCAAAGCTATTCAACAGGCAGAAACCTGGATTTCAATTGATAGTTATGATACAATTCTAATATATCAATTGCATCTCTCTTTTCACCATGTACTCATAATCTGATTTAAGTGTTTATGAACAATGAAAGTATCTTGGGGCTGCCAAACAATTAATGATTTTCCATCCTGGTCAAATGACTCAGTTTGATCAAATCGATTGCAATGAAGTTATGGTTATTTGATTGCTTACTTTGATTGTTTTGATCATATCGCACAGTAATTGAATAATATAATGGAAGCGTGTGTGGCTACCAAAAAAAGGAGATAGTACAATCAGATTGTGTGGTGAGCTTTAGGCTAGTCAAAGGACAGGCACATAGCGAGCAATAAGGCTGCCCAACACAACCAATACTCAATAGTTAAATGCCTAATGCGTGCATATATAACCAGATTGCACAGCAAACTTTTCTGTAACAACAATGCCCATTCACAGATGTAGCCACCATGTAAAAGGAATATATTTCATATATATATATATATATATATATATATACTCCTATATACTTATTTATTTTTTTATTTTTACTAGTACTGGCAGTGATCAGCAACTTATAGCAGGACTGCAGCGGACATTCTGACAGTGGGGGGAACTGACTTGGTATCACTGACATCCCCAGTGACACCAATACAGTGATCAGTGCTAAAAAAAAAGCACTGCCACTTTACTAATGGCACTGGGCAGGAAGGGGTTAATGTGGGGCAATCAAAGGGTTAACTGTGTGTAGGGAGTGTTTTACTAGGGGGCTGTGTCTGTGTGCTTCACTGTAATCACACTGCTCTGGATGGCTGTGCTGTGCACAGCCCGAAACTGTGCTGTGCAGCTCACAGTGGAGCTGACAGGGAGGAGGACTGTTAGTAAACAAAACAGTCCTCCTACCCATTGGAGATCTTCGGAAATCACCGGGCGCTTGAGAGTAATTACCCAGTGATTGACAGCCTCGACGAATGTTGGCGTACCCCCCACGAAATGCAAAATCATGTATATATACGTGATGTTGCGCACCCGTGCTGCCATGTAGCAGTATTTTTTGCTATAGGGCGGATGGGAAGCAGTTAATTTAGTGGTGCACTTCTTATTTTAATGGAGGTTGAGAAGTTACATGACCTGTTTTATGTTTCAGACAGAGTAGAGAAAGCAGAAAACACCTGTCAGGTTACATTTTTCACTCTCCCTTTGAGGAAATTTCACTCCCTGTCCCAGAGACGCAATAAAAATTTAGTGAACATATCCCAGAACAGGTGTCTCAATTAGCAGATTTCCCCATACCTCTTGTTCTCTGGACAACCCTACAAATTGGATTTCCCCTTAACTTTCTGTTTAAGTGACAATAGTTACATCATAGAGTGGTGAATCTGGCCAATAATGACACAGATCTTGATAAAAAAAAACTTACTTTCAGCACTTTGGTCATCAAGTCGAGGCCCAAACACTACCTGCATGGAGTTGACATGTTTTCCGGGTACTCCGGTTTCCTCCCACACTCAAAGACATGCTGGTAGGTTAAATGGCTCCTGTCTAGATTGTTCCTAGTATGTGTTTGTTTGAATGTGAGTTAGGGATCTTAGACTGTAAGCTCCTCAAGGGCAGGGACTGATGTGATTGTATAATATTGTATATGTAAAGTGCTGTTTAAATTATTGGCAACCTGTTCACAGCAGAAGCTTTGAAGTTATTCAAGTCCTTTTCTCCTATCAGCTCACTACCAGCAATGATAGATCAGGTTCTATGCAGGATCAGAATGAGATAGAGAAGGCAGGTATCTTCTTTTATGCAGGCATCACCCAGGGTCAGTATCTACTCTGAGATGCTGGCCTATAGGTGCCACAGTTATATAAATCCTGGTGCCTACACAATGACAATGTTTTTGGCTTTGTGTACAGTCTCCACTCTAATTCATCCCAAAGGTGTTCTATTTGAAGTCTGGACTCTGTGAAAGCCAGTCAAGTTTTTCCACCCCAAACTCTCCCATCCATGTCTTTATAGACCTTGCTTGGTGCGTAGTCATGTTGGAACAGGAAGGGGCCATCACCAAACTGTTCCCACAAAGTTGGGGAGCATGAAATTGTCCAAAATGTCTTGGTATGCTGACGCCTTAAGAGTTCCCATCACTGGAACTAAGGGGCCAAGCCCAACCCCTGAAATGCAACCCCACGTCATAATCCCCCCTACACCAAACTTTACACTTGGCACAATGAAGTCAGGCAAGTACCTTTCTCCTGGCACCCGCCAAACCCAGACATGTCCATCGGACAGACAGAGAAGCATGATTTGTCACTCCAGGTAGACGTTACAATACTTTTGGAAATAAATTGTATATATGTACTGTGTGTATATATATATATATATATATATATATGTTTTTTTTTTTATATATATATTTTTTTTTTTTAAATGAACTTAGCAGGTGAACAACATTTTATGTTTCCTTTTACAGGATTCACTTGTGCTATTATATATTTATCTTAGTTGTATTCCAGCTTTTCTGATACTTTATAAAGGATCCCCATAGATCCAAAACATCTTGTATTATAAGTGACTTCAATATATTTATTTTGGACAACTCTGTGTTTCCACCCATGTCCTCTTTCCCCATGTTTGCTATAATGTGCATGGAAATTACCCCAGTTTTACTCCTGCTGCTTCATTGTTTGTGTACCATTCAGGAAACAGCCAGCATGCACAGTGGGATCTCCTTTTGTAGGTATGTGTTCTAGGAACTCGGACACAGAGATCTGGTAGAAGAAATAGTTCTCTGAAAACATTTCTTAATCATTCTTTTTATCTTGGGTTTAGTAACTAGCATTGATCAGCAATTGTGTCAGTAAAGATTCTACATATCATACCGGGTCATTGACATATTCAGTGGTTTTAAATGAACCAAATGTGCTGAATGTACATTTTACAACATAGTCAGCGTTGTTCCTAGTGTACATAGGAGAGCTGGGAAAGCAGGGGATGATGATAAATAACCCTCTAGAGAGCACAGTCTGGATGAGTTGTATGTTCTGATAAAGGCATTTTATCTTCCACATGGACAAACAGATGGATCCCGGTGGCGTAAATGTAGCAGACTTTTCTCATCAGGAGATATCAAAATAAAACCTGTGTACATTATAGGATATTGCACAGTCATAAAACTTCATGTGACTCTTATTATTTTGTGTATCGAAAATATAGTACTATTGTTTTACTTTGCTTACCATGTGTCAAACCTTGGATACTTTTCTTTCCAGTTGAGCCTCTCCTAAGGGAAATATGGGGCCACCATGTCTGACCTCCTTTTAAAAATGCAAGCTGCCTGATTATGATGCCAAGCCTCTGGTTTTACAGCTTCATTTCTTCTGTTGCAAAAAATAATAAATACACGCCCAACAAATTTGCATTTATTATTTTTTTTATATTAGCCTATAAAGCACGATCCATATTAACAGATTTACTCTTTAGGCTAGATTTGATATTTTCAGCCAAGGACTCTATGCGTGTACTATGTCCTAGCAGCTGTACGACTGTGACATAGAAGTATTATGTCATTTGCCTGTCTTTGTTTTTTTCTTATTTGTACATTGATACTGACATTTAGATTTGTTCTAAATTTGAATTTTCTTTAACCCAAGGAGCCATAATTCTCATATTTGTATGTGAAAACAGTTTATTAAAATGCTTTCATGGCTTACACAAATGTGGTGTTTTCTTAGTAGTAAGATGCATTAAAGTATAACTAAAGTCAAAACATATTTTTTAGAGAGAGTAGAGAGGGATTAGAACCCCTGTCAAGCTTTTATTGCTGTCTGCACCCCCATTAAGGAGATTCACCCTCTCTATTTGTTGTTTACCATTATCATTGAAAGTGAGAGTAAAAGAAAATCCCAAATTTTAGGTTGTCCCCAGAAAAGTAATGAAGGGGAAATATTCCAATAGATACACAGTTCTGGTGACCTGGGGGTCCACAAGGAATTGCCTAAGTTTGCAGGGACTTTCTCTCACTTCCTGTTTGGCAATGGGACAGGAAGTGAAGGGAAATCTCCACAATTGTACACAGATGATGAAAAAAAATCTGAAAGGGGTCATATTTCCCTATGAGATTGTGTAGAGGGGGCTGTGCCTATCCCTCTGCTCAGGTCTCAGATTACACATAGTTTTGTGCTGTGCAGCATGTGATGTAAGTAGAGAAGAGATGGCTGAAGAAAAACAGGTAGAATTTATGTAGGAGGATTTGTCATCTCTGTGTACCATCTTAGGCTAGCAACTTCACTGGGTATACAGCATGTAAGGGTTTACAACCACTTTAAGCAGTTTACTGGTCACCTGTCAACAAGGGAATAGGTTAGTAGATGATGATATGTGTGGCTCTTGGGTGGATCTTCATGCTGTAGATACCCTTTTTGGACTTTACATCTCCCCTATTTGGATTTGGTAAAGTCCAAATAAGAGCAATGAGGTCATGGTGTTTCAACAAATCCTCAAAGTTTGTGCTACTCCATGATTAAATTATGTAATCTAAATGGCCTGTGTGTGTTCTAAAACAGGAGTCTCCAAACTTTCTAAACAAAGGGCCAGTTTACTGTTCTTCTGACTTTAGAGGGGCCAGACTGTGTCCATTGGGAGTAGAACATGTCCCAGCATCAGTTGGAGTAAACAATGCCCCATCATCCGTTTCATTGTTAGGAATTGTGCCCCATTATTGGTAGGAATTGTGCCCCAACATTGGAAGGAATTGTGCCCCAACTTTGGTGTCATTGGGCACTGTTGTTGGTGTCATTGGGAGGAATTGTGCCCTATCACTGGTGTCAATGCGAGTAATTGTGCCCCATCACTGGTGTCATTCGAAAGAATGTGCCCCGTCTCTGGTGTTATTGGGCCTCACTGTTTGTGTCATTGGGAGGAATTGTGCCCCATGATTGGTGTCATTGGGAGGAATTGTGTCCCATCGTTGGTGTCATTGGGATGAATTGTGCCCCTTCGTTGGTGTCAGTGAATGAAGTAGTGCTCCAAGGGCCAGATAAAATTAGGCAAAGGGTGGCATTCGGACCTGGGCCGCAGTTTGGAGACTATTGTTCTAAAAGAAGCATATTTGTAAGGGCTCCAAAAGATCCCTTTTAAGGTTCATTAAATGTTCTTCCAGAAGAGTGAACCTGCATCAAATATCCTACACAAAAGCTCAATCAGTGTAATGCAATACTGAGCAGAATACACATCTTATAATTATTGAATTTAGCCATGAGTATCTGAGATTTCTGACGTCCACGCATGACAAACACCACCTCGGAAATGGTGGCAGCATATTCTTTCAGAATACATTTTTGTTACATACAGCTGATGGCAGAACATACTCCGGTAAGGTTGTTAATTCCTGATTATCCAGGTTTATGTGCATTTCCATGTCACAATAAGGTAGGACAGTGATAGCATTAAATTGCATGAATATCACCATTTGTAAATGGGTCCTCCCATATTTTTTAGTCCTACATGAAATGCCCTCAACTACCCACCAACCTATCAGACTATAGCCATGCCATGAAGTAAATGCTTAAAGTAGGTCTGAACCCTAACTGGAAGTCATTTTTTTGCTAAATGTCATGTTTTTTTCCCATAAAATACCATTTCTCTTTTTCTCATTCTGTTTATCCATATCAGCACTGCTGATCTCCTGTGGCCTTTTCAAACACTTACTGTGCCCATATACTTGCTCCAACGTCAGCTGCATATCATTGCTCTGGACCAGCTTCTAGATAGTGATAGAGGTAAACCATACCTGAATAGTGTGGGTCCGCATGGTAACTTGTATCCTTCCGCAAGGGCATGTGTAACAGGGAGCATCCAGGGAGCAGAATTGGGAGACAGTTGTTGCCCTGTAACAGGAAGCTCCTAAACAAGGACCCTCAAAGCAGGATCACCAGGTAGTATTTATAGAAAGCTGCAGATTTAAATGATTGAAAACAGTATTTGAAATAGCCTTAATATGTTAACTCTCATATAAT